TCAGAACCACAACGGCTCATATCATATTCTTCATTTAAACCATGTGGGGATAGAACCACGTGCAGGAGTCAAATCTGATCCAAATTACCTCCTCAAAAGATCAGGAACGGTTGTGTCAGTGCTACAGAATACCTAACATGTCACAAGAGCAATGATCTCCATCTCCAAAGTGTCTGTTGTTGTGGGGAGGATGAAATAGGAATGGAGCTATCAGAGTCCCACTGAAAATGCTATGTCCAGATTAACACAATCAACTTTTTGGAATTGAGCGTGCATCAAGACCGTTATCTCATGGTAATTTGTTTGAATCTGATTCAACAGACTCCTTTAAATGGCTCCACTGATCACGTGAGTGCTGATTATGTGATTCTGCTGTCCCGCTGAACCTTTGAGAAGCACATTTTAACTGTCTGTATAATCTCTGCACTGCGCTGTCATGGTTTGAAGCAGCCAGCAGGTGTCGCCCACTGAGAATACTCCCCTGGTGTTATTTGCCCTCCTCAGAGGGACTTTTTCCTCTGGACCATGTAAACCCTCCTCTCCTGTAGTTCAAGGAATCCTGCATTTGGCAGGAAGCTGAAAGTAAACAGGGTGTCACCTCATATTCTGGTGGATTTATGGTCAATTTGTGGCTTACATAAGCACACACACCTCACGAGGCTTTTCAGAAGTTTCCCAGTTTACCGTAGCCCACTGACACCTTTAATGCAGATGCAGAACATTTTTTGCTCCACAGATCACAGCTGGACAGTCTGGGTTGTGCTGTCCTCTTTATGACATTGTTTTTGTTTCACAGTGAGAGCTACATATTGACCAGCTGTTCAGTCCTTGTCCAAACAAGCCCCCACAGTATATTTCTTAATATATTGTGAAACAGTGCACATGTATAACATTGGAGCGCTCTGATTGGCCACGGCTGGTCTCTAGCTCAGCCAGTAGCCAATGGAGAGGCTCTGTTGTTTGTGTACCGCTGCTGCGCTCGTATAAAGAGGAGGCGACGACCCCCGAGAAGGAAAACTGAGAACTGAAGAAAGCCAGGGGGCACCTGGCTGTGAGCTGTCACCGCTGCCCCGCGTCTCTTCCACCGACCGACACTGTCACCCGCAGAGGCGGATCTGACTGCGAGGACCGAGCCGCTCGGTTGACCCCCCCCCCACACCCACGCCACCTCCAAGACCTACACGCGCGCGCTTCAGGTGAGGTTCGCACCAGAGGATGCTCTGCAGTCACTGCTCCCCGGGGAAGAGGCTGCACATACTCTGAGAGGACGTGATCTGTGACAGGTGGCGTGTTGCAGTGTCCTCCTTCACTCACAGTGTCTCCGCTTTGCTTAAAGGCTGCTGAGGGGAAGCTCGAGCTGCAACAGCCGTGACTCTCTCATCAACTTAATCCAGCCTCTCACTGTGTGTCAGTCATTTTCCATCCGCGCTTCGTTTTTTCAGCGCGTTTTTACAGCAAACTTACAACTGATATGATCACACAGTCCATATTTACACAGGCACCCACACACACGAACATACTTCATTTTCCTCTCTTTATTAATCATTAATAACCAAACCGTTATTAACCAAACTGAAGGTGCCTTTAAAGTACTGGTTCGATTTATGGTAAAAGTAATGTGACGGAAGCTGCTGTCAAGAAGCAAAGTGATAGCGGGGATGCTTTGTTTTGGAGGCTGTTTGTGTCTAGTTAACTGTCTTTGTTTGGGCATGATTACGGTGGTTCCCCCTGAGCTGTTGTTGATACTGAACAGCTGAGAGCTTCTGGCTGATATCGGCGTCAAGTGCTGAAGCCTAAAGTGTGCAGACCCGGAAAATCAGACGGAGTGGTTTTCAAAAATAAAAGCAGCAAGAATGCGTCGAGCGCTGAGAGCGCGCGGCTGAACGCGAACGCGTTTTATATTGAAATTTAAAACCGGAATAGGAATATAATGTTCTGTGTCGCGTGCAGGGGGCTAGAGATGTGGATCGAGGAAGGTGGAGGGGGTGTTTTGTGCGGATGCTTTTAGTCCAGTTCAGACCAGTTCTAAGGCTTCTGCTTGTTCATCGCAGTGTTCTTTGTCTCATTGTTCAGTACAACAAAGCTGTTGCTGAGAAATGCACAAACTTCTAATGAACTCTGGTCCGTGTGTGTTCAAGCTATATTAGCGTATTTTCACGGTCGTTAGTGTTGGGGTCGTCGAGTTAGGCTATCTCAAGTTTATATTCACACAAAAATGCGGACAGTAGTTTTAAAACGGTCTTCTTTCAAAAGATGACTGTCTAAGATGAACAGAGTGGAGGGAACAGATAGGTTATGTGTTCCAGCCAGATGGAGTTTTTACCTGGGAATTAAAACAAGTACAATTACACATAATGTCGCTCAGTATTATCAGATAAATGTTGGCTGGGTGTTCGTAATAAATTCATTTCTGTATGTTTGAATACATTTCCAGTGAGTATTTTTTGCGTTATGACGTTCGCCTCTGTAACGGTGCACACTGCACTAACAGCTCCTGTTGAGAAGCGCTCGCGCTGAACATCAACCAGCAGCATCTGAGTCTCGCGCCGCGCTGGTTCGAACCGGCTGAGCTTGCGCTGCATTCAGTGGAAGTGGGATTTTCGGTCTACGTTTGTGACAAAGGGTTGCCACACAACCCCAAATAAAACGCCTCACGTTTCAGCACAAGCAGAGGAGAAGTCGTGTCCTGTAAAGGCATTTTTTTTATTTTAAAACTAAAATAAAATTTAAATCTGACAGTTTCCACGTCAAAACTTATACAAACAACATTTTCAAAAATGTAAACACCCTCTGCCGTGTCCTATTCGGGTGGAATACAACAGCAACCTCACGTGTAGCTGCTGTACAAACAACCAATAAGAGGAGACCTGTTGTACCCTGGAGCCAATCAGATATGTCAGGGGGAGACAGTTTAATATTTATAGGAGGGGTTTGCTTCTCAAATGTCTCAGCTGTTTTCAGTTTGTGACTGTCTTCTCGATCACAGTCATCCTCAGTAGGTTAGAAAAAAAAAGACCTGTACTGAATATGGATCCAGGAATCATCTAAAACACTTGCAAGAGGTCATATTGTTCAAATATTTCATAATGTTAAAGAACTACATGAACTAGACTTAACGAAAATAATTATAAATAAACCTGTAAGAAGTACCTCACCATGGGTAAAATTTCTGGTTGTCATCTTGTCTCTGCTGTCTCTATCTTATCTTCCAGGCTTAAGCAGCCCTCCTCATATTCGGTCAGGTCTAGCACATTGCTACCTCTGATCCATCCAAAATGGCTCCTACTCTGGCCACGGCCTTCTCCCGCCGCTGGTGGATGGCGGTTACAGCAGTCATTGAGAACCTGCTTTTCTCTGCTGTGCTTCTTGGCTGGTCGTCCCTGCTCATCATGCTCAAGTCGGAGGGCTTCTACTCTTACCTGTGCAAAGGACGAGGTGAGTCTACTTTACTGTAATTGGGTTATCATGTGTGGTTTTGGTGAGGGGGTTGTTTACTTGGAGTCCTTGAGCAAATGAGTATCTGCTGAGGGCCCTTTTGACCTGTTTTAACAAAAACACATCAAATTCATTAATTTTCCATCCTTTCTTCCTTTCTGCATGACGATCCCCTGAGCTGGTAAAAAACTGAAAGCCTCAGGACATTGATCTGAACACTCAGGTGCACTTGCTGTTCCTCTGCTGTGGAATTATGCAGAACACATAAGCAAGTGTGGAAACCTTTTTGTAGAAAGTACCCATGTTTTATCTTACTTTGGCACCTCATCCTCAGTGCAGTGTGTTACCTCTCTCAGCAGGAGCAGTACCTTTGAGAAAAGTGCCTGCCTGCATATTGGCAAACAAGTGCTTCTCATTGATCCAACAGTTGGCTTCTCCTTGTGGAAAACGGGTCATTATGGCGACAGCAGCCTAGGTCTGAAAAACCCTCGAAAGCATCCATAAAGTGGTCCTGCACAACAATGCCACAGATGCATCAGAGATGGTCATTTTGTTGTTATTTGATTCTGTCTCCTACTCTGTGATCAAAGATGATGCAGTGAGCTGCTGTATTCAGAGGGTTGTTATTTGGTTATGAAAGATTGCCCTGTTTAAAAAGCAAAAAAACCCAACCAGATGAGGACAGTGGTTCCTCCATCCTAGCATTCGGTAATCAGTGCTCTCCACAGAAACAGTGTAGAGGAGGTGAAATGTAACAGCATGCTGAAGAGAACTGGCTCCTTCATCTTCATCATCAGGGATTGAGTTTTTATCCATTGCAGCCCGCCTGTGAAGGAGACCATTCATCCCTTCATTCTCCACAGTGATCATCAGACAGGCTGCTCCCTGTCTTTGTCTCTTTGATCCTCTGATTGTATCTTCCTCTGTGTATTTCTCTCTTTGTATCCTACAAAGCAGCAGCTGCGAAAGCCTTGCAGGGTTAATTTGTGCATATAAAGCCTTTTTTATATCAATTTAGCTCTGATAATTCTCTTTCTCTGACTGTTTTGCT